CGTCCACCCTCGACTCTGCGGTCCGACGCCCTCGCACACACACATACCTCTAATTAATCTTCATACTATCTGGGTAGGCAGGCACCAAAGTCCGCCCCCCCCCCTCAAAAATGAAATTTTAAAGGGAAATGACTCTTCGTTAATCCTTGTAATTTTGCATCAATTTAATTTAAAATTAACACAAATACATAGTTATTCTAGCTCCTTGCCTCACTTGCCTTCCCAATTTGTTATTTCCCCCACGTGCCGTTAGCTGTGTGACTTATTCCAAATTGAGAAAAACAACATTTCCATTTTTAGAACAGCAGCGCGTGCTAGGCCCGCCAATCTCCTCGCAGTGCCAAAGTGAGACGCTCCTTTGCGTAATGTTAGCTCGCAAAACATAAACACGAAAAAAAAATGAAAACACAATTGATATTTGTGAAACTAGCACATAAGATTTACACGAAAATTCGAAATGCTTTAAAAACATGAAAACAACTACATAGTTTGGCAGTTGCACAAATAAAAAAAAAATGAACGAAAAGGAAAGCACGCCTCCGCAACTTGTAATTTTGCGGAGCCACGCGCGCGCTCGCTGGGGTGGCCTCGCTAAGGAGCGACCATCAGCACAAAGTCGTCATACTGCGGTGGCCGTGGCATTACGCACCAACGTTAGAAAAAAAACAAGGTGGAGAGAAAGAAGGATGAATAAACCGACCGACGGCCACCCCCACGCGCTCTCTCTCTCTCTCTCTCCCACGCACGCACACACGGGCGCGGCCGCTGTGTAAGGCCGCAGCAGCAGCAGGACTTTTGAAGTCTTTACATGTGGCCGGAGGGTACTCAACTCAATCAAGAGCCCCCCCCCCCCCTCCCAAAGACCAGAAGGAGAAGGCGCGCCGCCGCCGCCACCGCCACCGCCAAGCCCAGCGGCCGCGGTGGTGCGCGAGGAATAAAGGTAAAAGACAGCCAGCAGGCACAGCCCCGGCGCTTTGGTCATCCCTTCCGGTCCGATTTAATGCTCTCAAAGAATGTTTCATCTCTTTTCATCCTCCTCCTCCTCCTCTGGTCCGCGCGGCGACAACTGCCACCGCCCCGGAGGCTGTGCTGCTGGACCCTTCCCTCCACCCCACCCCCCCTCCTCCTCCCCTCCCGCGGGAAAAAGGGGGGACACGCCTCTCGGGGCTCTTTAGCTGATAATATTTTAATGAAATATCTTTTGAGTTGAAAGCTGCTGAGCTGCTGCTCTTTGCTTTAATGATGAACTGTAAACAAACGCTGTTTTTGGTCACATCTCCTGGGGGCTGGAAAGAGAGAGGGAGAGAGAGAGGGAGAGAGAGAGGGAGAGAGAGGGAGGGAGAGAGGGGATGAGGAGTAATTGGTGTGTCGTCCAGCATGTCCTTTCTATTGCTGACCACCTCTCCGCCTTTCTCTCTCTCTCTCTCTCTCTCTCTCTCTCTCTCTCTCTCTCTCTCTCCTGCGCCCCCCTCCCCTCTCTCGATCAGTAAAGCCCTGCCCCTTCGTCTTTCCTGGGCATTTGCAAGAGGAAAGGAAGCTGCCATCGGTCATCAAGCAAATCATGGGGGTAGAGAAGGGGGGGGGGAGAAAGGGGGCGAGCCTGAGGTCGTTATATTTGATGAGGTTGAATTACTGCCATTATCAATGACATTTGACATTTGTAACATAGCACGTGACGATTTTCCGCCTTCTTTCCTCTGTAACTTTGAGTACACAGTACGATTAAGAGGGCCCAATTAAGTTTTCCAGACTTCGATTTCACACCATTTAACGGATACCGTGTCCAACAAGTCCGAATTCGGAAAGCAACATAAGGTTCATAACTTTCACACAGTCAATCGACTGAGTGTAATGTGAAATTTTTAAAGAGATATTTTTTACAATTGATTTACGAAATTGTTGTTATTCGTACTACCGAAAAAAATCTAAAAATTACAACGGTCATTGGGAAGGAAGCGAAACAGACGGATGCACGACGCCCCCCCCCCCCCCCCTCCCTCTCCCCTGACACACCCACACACATACAAACTTTTCACTGCCGATATGCTGTTCCTAGGGCATGAGTTTCGGGCGGGGAGTTTGAATCGTTATTCCCTCAGCGAAAGAAGCAAAAAGGGTAAGAAATTTCGTAATAAAAAAAAAGAATTAGAAACACGAAGAAGACATGCCTGCTTCTGCCGCTGGCATTCTGGAGCCAACCCTCTAGCGAGAAATAATATGAAATGTACGGAGAGGAGAGAGGGGGGGGGGGGGCGGGGGGCTCCCATCCCAATTCAAGAGATAACTGCCCATATTTCCATACCTCTCCGCAACAACTTTGAGACGTCCGCTTTCCAGCGGCCCTGCCCCGTATCGCCATCGCCGGCGTCCTTGGATGCAGCACACTGACAGAGATTGAAACGTTGCCCAAAAGAGCAACATTACCTTCGCAACTCAAAATTATTCCACAGAAAAGAAGGGCTATGTGCTCCAACGGGAGGGCGACACGAGAGCTGGATTCCAAATCATGAATGTAAGTCTTCGATGACGGATAACGGAGGTAATAATCTCAAATGAAAGCTTATAAGTAGTAATGGCGACTGGCGACGTGAAAATTTGGGGCGCTCTGTAATGAGTTTTAGGGCTCGCGCACGGGGCTTATTGAAGATGTGTCGATCTGGTGCCTGACCCGCCCTTAAGTCAATTGCGCGACTCCTGAAGGTTGTCGCATCGTCATTATTATTACACAAAGGAATCACTTTAAGACTGTCACCTAGAAACCTTTTTTTTTTAATTCTTTGGAACGGCCTATGCTGGAGGTTGCGCCACCGTCTCCCCCCCCCCCCTTCCCTCCCGGGAGGAGGACTGCAAAGTGTTTTCCAAGGCCGTATTGTCATTTATCAGGGGGGAGACTCTCGGGGTTGTTCGGTCTTCCCCCCTATCAAAGCGCGTCCCGTGAACAATACCGTCATTAGTAGTAATTATTAATTTCGTACCTGCGCGAGGCCCGGGCGCCCGGGTCCAACACAGGAGGGGCTCCTATTAAATTTGCGGACAATATGGACCTTCCCTATTGGGTCTGAAAAGCGGGGCAGGGCGGAGCGG